GCTCCTGTTAATGTAGGAACTTGACTCGAGTTTCATGTGTCGGTTCTCATCAACTCAACGAAATGTTAACGATTCGAGATCGCTCATACGAGACAGGAGTGACGATGTGGCTCGAATTTTCTAAATGGTGTAGGTTCCGTACTAGTCTTCTAGGAGAGTCAAACAAGAGAAACCTAAAGCTAGACCCTAGGCTCTAAGGAGAGAAGAAAAGACCTCATCTGAAAATGAGGTCAACAATGATCATGTCTATCGTTGATACCAACCAAGAAATTGACGATCGGAAGCAAGTGACAACTCGTTGCATGGTCCTTCAAAGGACTCTTCAGACCCTACAAAGGTGGGGATCGGAATCCCTACATTTGCTAGCTTTAAGTATATTTTTAATATGATGATCGAGCGTCCCACCTCCCATCTACCGTTGAGGAGAGTCTTATGTTGTGCGGTCTATCAATGCAAGAGGGCCAGAGATACTAAGAAGCATGGGAGTTCATACAGAACACCAACCACCATGGCAACAATGATTCCCTCTTCCCTCACACTCAGTATTCTACTACCTTGGAGCAGTGGGACATCTCTTCTCTATCTCAACAGCTTACTCCTTATGTTTTTTCCTGCCCACTCCGAAAACTCTATTACAGCTTTGACATATGAAATTTTGTTCAAAATGCAACCCTGGAATGAGAACTGGACTAAAAAGCTGAGGCTTCACCCACACGAACCATTGTTCTAGTGGGGATTAGCATTGGATGTGATACCAACCAATTCCTGGCTATGCAAACATGGAATTGGTGATGATCCTGTCTGTTCTTGGGGGTGCCAAGAAATTGAGGACTAGAAGCATGTGACAACTAGTTGTGTGGTGGTTCAAAGAACTCTTCAAACCCTATAGAGATGGGGGTTGGAACCCCGACCTTTGCTAGCTTCAAGGATATTTGCATCTTCTTGTAAGTTTCGGACGCATCGGCGCGGTCTTTTTCGTCATTCGGGGTTGTCCGGACGAGTTCGCCGGCGGGCGAATCAATTTAAGCCAAAATTGTGTGGAGTGCGATGCGTGCGCAAAAATGCGACGTTATCGAGTGTTCGGGTCACCAAGGGGTTTCCTAGGGGCTGCTCCTGTTAATGTAGGAACTTGACTCGAGTTTCATGTGTCGGTTCTCATCAACTCAACAAAATATTAAGGATTCGAGACCGCCCATACGAGACTCGGAGGAGTGACGATGTGGCTCGAATTTTCTAAATGGTGTAGGTTCCGTACTAGTCTTCTAGGAGAGTCAAACAAGAGAAACCTAAAGCTAGACCCTAGGCTCTAAGGAGAGAAGTGAAGACCTCATCTGAAAATGAGGTCAACAATGATCATGTCTATCATTGATACCAACCAAGAAATTGACGATCGGAAGCAAGTGACAACTCGTTGCATGGTCCTTCAAAGGACTCTTCAGACCCTACAAAGGTGGGGATCGGAATCCCTACATTTGCTAGCTTTAAGTATATTTTTAATATGATGATCGAGCGTCCCACCTCCCATCTACCGTTGGGGAGAGTCTTATGTTGTGCGGTCTATCAATGCAGGAGGGCCAAAGATATTAAGAAGCATGGGAGTTCATACAGAACACCAACCACCATGGCAACAATGATTCCCTCTTCCCTCACACTCAGTATTCTACTACCTTGGAGCAGTGGGACATCTCTTCTCTATCTCAACAGCTTACTCCTTATGTTTTTTCCTGCCCACTCCGAAAACTCTATTACAGCTTTGACATATGAAATTTTGTTCAAAACGCAACCCTGGAATGAGAACTGGACTAAAAAGCTGAGGCTTCACCCACACGAACCATTGTTCTAGTGGAGATTAGCATTGGATGTGATACCAACCAATTCCTGGCTATGCAAACATGGAATTGGTGATGATCTTGTCTGTTCTTGGGGGTGCCAAGAAATTGAGGACTAGAAGCATGTGACAACTAGTTGTGTGGTGGTTCAAAGAACTCTTCAAACCCTATAGAGATGGGGGTTGGAACCCCGACCTTTGCTAGCTTCAAGGATATTTGCATCTTCTTGTAACTGTTTATCTTGTTTAATGCAATATTTCAAGGGAAAGAGCTTCATCTTTTTTCCCATGAAACTTCTAGAATTAATCTACACAATCATGACAAAGATATTATCTTGTTGTGACTGAGACAACTCAACTACAAAATTTATGCTCATGACCATTCCAAGAACTCTAAAACACATCCATCATTCCAAAATCTATCCTGATAGAATAAATATCCATCATTTTTCACAGCCAGTATTGGAACTGCACATATATGGGTATTCTCACGAACCACATCTCGAATCATTAAATCTATAACATGCTTCTCCCACTCCTGCTCGGCTAAGCACATCAGATAAACAAGTCTTCTTGAAAAAACTGGCTCTAAAGTAAAATTTATAATAGTTTGAACCACTCTCAATAACAATCACCCAGAGATAAACGGTCAGTCAAGACATACGGCAACTCCTTCAATAAGGGTTGTTGTAATGGCTCCTAAGACTCATTACCATCTAGGACTATCAATGTTAGTCCCGCTGAAGGCTCTCTCACAGTACAACAGTTAAAGGGTACCCCCACTGACCAGGCGAAGATTTTTCTTGAACACACTGGGCAAACTATCACTGCTCTTAATTTACAGTAGTTTGTTTAAGAGCGAGCCCATCTTTTGGTTGGGAGGCTTACACTTCTGACCCCGATTAGAGTGTGGTTGTGGTTGAAGTTGAAGCCATCTACACTGCACCTTTTGTGCATCTTTTATAGCTAAGTTTTGTACTTTTTATTTTATTATAATACAAAATGCACACAATTTACATAAGCTCTCTCATAGGCTCAGCTTGAATCACGACCATCTCTCCCTCATCGGTTGGGAGCTGATATTCGTCCTCGCCTTTTCCTGTATCTCATGTATCATTGTCAATATTTTTCACTACTCCGTGCTTAGCAAAAGATATGACTTTCTTGTTTGGAAAATCAGATGCAATGTGTCCAAAAACATGGCAGTTAAAGTACATTTTAGCTTGGACGAATAGGAGCACCGGCAATCTCCACCCAATATGAATATCTCCTTTGGCGGGGTTAGTTGGGTGCTTCACTAGATGTACTATTGCGGCACAATCTTAGGGAAGAACTTTGCCTATAAGGTGTGGCAGTCATATGATAATATTGTTTCTCTACCTTCAAAACTAAGATCTAAACATCGAGTAGGGATCAATATGGATGCAGTTGTATTACATTAATAATAACTAGCTTCAGTCCTCCAAGATATCTCGTCATTGTGTGTTTCTCTAGTTCAACTAACTCACATTTCAACAAAAGTCAATCAAAATCAGTTGCACACACCACAAATAAGCCCCTTTGAGATAAGTTGTGGAATTTTATATACATGTCATTTTGATAATACAGGAAAAGAGATTTGTGTTAAATCTCAATTTTTATCTTAGATCAAGTGGTGATCTTACCCTTTCCTTCTCGCATATGTTTTAGACTCTCCCGTCACAAAGAATAGTTATTCATGTGCTTGATAACTGTTAATTTAACTCTCTTGTCCTAGGGAACATATTTGTACTCAAAAAATTATTTCACTATTTAGAGTCACTCGATAAACTCGTCTGAACCCATGCAACAATGAAAATCCAATAAATTCACTTTTACTCCAAAATTCTAGTTTATCCTCTGATATTTCATGCCAGATCGCAAAGGGTATTGGTTCTTCGTCACTAAAAACTTTCTGATGGAAAGAATTCACTTCCTCCCTTCAATCAGGTGAGTAAACGTAGAAGTTATGGGTGATTTCACTGGATTCTCTCCTCTCAAAGAAGGAAAGTCGTTGTTGCAGTTGGTGAATTTTCCGTTACATATACTCCATAGTAAATTCATGTGCATCTCGCTGAGGGTTTCTCCTTGATGGCATAATGTCATTTTATCCCGCTCAGATTTTTGGCAGATATAGGATTTGCCAATCAAGACTAAGCGAGAGCTTAGGTTTTGGTGGTACGTGTCAGGGTGAAATTTTAGTGAACGTAGGAAAATTGAATTTTAAAAATTTAGGGTTGGGACTTAAGAATTACAGTAGGAATGGTTTGGATATGGTGGGGATTTTAATTTTTTTAATTTTGAATTTGGAGCAACAAAGACAAATTCCTAAAATTTTAGAGTTTGGCATGCTCCGATACCAAATGATATCATTCCAGGACTACTAGAACGTATTACAAAGGCGTTTTAGCGGGAAAGAAGTTGTGGAGTAACGAGGGAATAAAAATATGAGTTATTGAGAGCGTTAGAAAAGGATATGTGATGAATCTATAGTTGAACAACAGATTCGGCGCGTTCGGTGGCTATCCGACTGAAAATTCCCTAATGGAAAATAGAAAAAAATTAGAAAAAGAAGGAAATTGGTTGGAATCAAAAATTGAGAGGGCAGGTTGTCGGTTCTGCGATCGCGAGACTATCTGCAATCTCGTCAAATCGATACTTTTTTGCTAATTTATATCATTGGATCTCCGTGATTCTGTCTGACACTCCTGCGTTAGTTTAGGTGTGAAATATACAAATACATAAGAATTGTGTGCTACGTCTGAAAGTTCCCAAAAAAATATTGCTAAGGGACTGTTTGGCTAAGTGTATTAGGAGTGAAATACATTTTAAACGCAAGGGATTTTAAATGTTCTGGTAATTTGTTGAGAAAAAGAAAAAACAGTTTTGAAACTTCCTAAGCAATTCTCCGGAGTGAAAATCTATGATTACAGCAATCAAAGCGGTTATTTTCTGAATCCCTATCTAAAAATACATTCAGAACTTCAAAAAAATATATGAATTCAATAATAAGCATGGCATGAGCCAGAATACATAATGAACTAAATGAAGATTTCGGTTAACCCCAAAGGGTACATACATTGAGTGAATAAAATCAGATTTAAATCAAGCAGATAAAACTTCTGACATTTAAAAAAAAAATGCTACAACTTACAACAGTTGGAGGACTCAAAAGTTCTATTCCATTGCTTATCTGACCATAGGGCTCCATCAAATCAACGACGGATTGCATGTCTTCCTTTCTCAAAGTCAATCCAAGATGATCTGCAAGATGTTTGCTTATTCTCTTGAAAATTTTGGTTCCCCTCAACCATGCGGGAATAAAATTACCAAATGTCTGCACAAAAAAAAAATGATCACAAGACATCAAAAGCACGAAATTGAATGACAAGAAAAGTAAGCAAGTAGAGGAAATATATATAAAAGCCCTTTTATGGGATGGAATGTAAATTTTGTCGAAATGGACTATCGTGAAAATGAAGAGAAAGGCACTAGAAGAAAAAAAATCAGAAAAAGAGCATAAAAATAATAAAGGAGATGGTTTTTTGGCTTCATGAAGCCACTAAAACTACTAGGGCTGTCAAAAAAAAACACGTCACTCCCAAACAAATCATGTTCAGCTTGCTAAGTAGCTCATGTTTGGTTCATTCTTAAAACGACCAAGCCTTACACAAACAATAATTTTGAGCACGATACATAAACGAGTTGAACACAAACAGAACTTTGTTCGATCATATTCGGCTTGTGTTGGCTCGAAATAATTATATAATTAATATTGCTTATTATCTTTTATATTTTTTTTTTTTAATTTTAGATGTACAGAATAAGAGCGTTGTGTTGGGCGCATCACAGGCGGACCTTGACCCACCGTGGTCATGCTTACAGAAATCCAAACAACATTGAGAAGAGGGAAACCTATGATTAAATCCGACGGCCAGGAATCGATGTCAAACATGCATAATGCCTTTACCTTCAAAGTTAGTGGCAGTCTTGCTCCTTGGTCCTAAACTTTTTTTTCTGCTTTTTAGTTGTTGCGAGTGCGAGCCTGCAACTAGAGCTTGTGCCACAACCCAACTGACCACTCATTTTAGGGCGAACCTTGATGTGACGGAGGTGGAATATTTGATCAGACTAAACTCTCACCAACACTTATCCTTAATTGTATAATCAGGACTCGATGAGTGATGAACTAATCTAGTTATATCGTTGAAAACGTACATAATACATTTCATTCCATAATCCAATCATAAACTTGGAAGCATAGAAAAACATATCACCTATATAGTTATATCCTTATATGCATATAAATATATATACATAGAGTTGCGTAGTTGTTAAATCCAACATAAAAAATTAAGAACCCCAAAAAGTTTGTACACCCTCCAAACCAAATAGTGCAAAAGATATACATGTCACATATGGCATATGACTACTCGTTATGTGATCTTTACTCCTTCCTTAAGGTCAATAGCATAAAGTTAGCTACAACAAGCTCAACTAAATAATCAAGGTTAAAGAAAAATTTTATAGACAAAAAAAAAACAACGGCCATGATCATATATAGCAGCACAAATCACAACATATTATAATCGTGTAAAACATGTAAAAAAGGCATGATTTAGGAAAAACATGATAGCTATATGAAACATCTATTTCATTCATTCACGTATAATTATAAGCACATTCATAATAATGTTGTAGTCATTACTAGTAAATATGAGAAAGTCACTTAAAATTGTATAGGCCTCAACTATTTTCATGTTATTGCATACCATTTGGGTCGTCATCCAGCCCGAACACTAAATTAACTATTAATAAAAGTTGTGTCTCTTCCAACCTAAAAGTTATCAATTAGCCCCTAGTACCAACGATTTCCTACGTTCTGCCCTATTTGATACCAACGGTTCCTGGAGTTTTGTCTTCATTTGAATACCAGAAGTCGAGAATCTCATTACCCCTTAACATCCATACTTGCAAATATTAATATAATAGTTTAGCTGTAACATCACTCGTGATATTTCTTAAATCATAATTTCTATAACAAACAATCATAAGCAGTTCAAACCATATGCATAATCTGTCTGATATGAATAATTGCAAACAAACATAACATAATATGCTCATTATCGCTATATTATAGGAAAATCAGCCATTGTTTGTATTAATTCAATGCTAGCATACATATAACATTCAGAGACATTCGACAACATGCAAAAGTTCTAAAAGCAATCCTATATCAAGGAAGTTATCTAGAAAATCTTATAAAGAGTTATTATTCTTAATTTAGTACAAGATTAATTCACCTGCATTGACAGGACAACCCTACAACGAGTTTTCCCACGTTTGCCTCGTGCTTACCACCTAGTATAAACAATCAGAAATACGTAAACCTCAGGATATTCATAAATTCTTATCTCAGTTCTTAATATAACCCACACATAAAGATGCGAGTCAATATTTACCTCAAATGTGTTGCCCTGCATGAATTCTTCTTACAAATTACTTCAAATCCTCTCTTCCTCCCCCTAACATTTCCTCATTCCCTTTATTTCATTGATTTCCTACTAATGGCCCATATGGAAGCCCACAAATCAAGTTTGTAACATCCGACACAAGTGCGCCTCCTGGTACGACGACCGGAAACAAAAAGGTGCATCAATTCAAGGCAAACGTTAAAACAAAAAAATGTAGAGAAGAGAATGAATATTCCAATTAGGGTGAAAGAGGGGTTTTTACAATTCAATTTCTCCCCGAAACCCTGAATTTCTGCCCACGACTCCATATGGATCGCACAATTGTTGTCATTCATGCTTGTGCTATAGAAATTGATTGCAGAACTCCCTCCAGACTTGCAGAACCTAATGAGAGAGGAAATGAAGAGAGTGTGGCACTTTTAACTCAGATCCAACGAATCTAAGTGTTCAATTTCATCCCACCGATGAGAATATGTGATTAAGTCAATGGGAGCAGTAATGGGGATTAAGAGCTAAATTTAGGGTTAATTAGTTTAATTAATTCAATTTCTTATTATTTGTATATCTCTCATTATATTCATAATTCATATATACATCAAATTAGTCGACTGGAGATGTAGAATTTTCTAAAATTGACTCGGTCTATATCCTATAGAAATGAAATTGAGGTATGTCTACAAGTGCCAAAATTTACCTAATTTCAACAAAACTGATACAACTGAGTGTTATAGCTTGACCTCGAAGGTTTTTTCATACATCTCTTATCTTTTACAGCCTCGCCTCTTGATCTCAAGCTTATTAGCTTCTTGATCTCACATGCGGCTGTTGAACTGCTTTCTTCCCTTCTTGATTCTTCAGGATTTATTTCCTTTTGGTTCTGGTAGTACTGTTTACACTCTTTATCGGTTAAATGTGTTGTTTCACCATAGTTTGGCTATTATTTGGTTAAACATAGTTATCCTGGTCATGAATCCCTAGTCTTTTATGCTTCTGGTTGTTGGTGACTAAAGCCCTAGTTGTCTGCTGCTTTTTGTTTATGTTTTTGTTTGTTGGTCAATCCCTAGTTGATTATGCTTTTAATTGTTGAAGTCCTTGGTCAATCCCTAGTTGATTATGCTTTTAATTGTTGGTGAAGTCCAAGTTGTCCGTTACTTTTTTGTTTAGGGCTTATGGTTGTTGGTGGCCCATAGTTGTTTATACTTATGGTCATTGGTGAATCCCTAGTTGTCTGGTGCCGAAGATCGTAAAAAATGAACGAATCCAATGCAATTCAAATCGATCACGAACATATTGTTCATGAATAATTTCGAACACAAATTAAATTTGAACAAATAAAATTTCAAAACAAGTCGAACACAAACGAGGACTGAGGAGCTCTAGAAACTACAAGCAAAGCTTCTACGCTAGCAGAAGTATCTTGTCTTGGATAAAAATTAAAAAAAAAGAAAATATTCAAAGCAACTAAAAGTTCAGAAAATGCCAGAAAAAAGCAGATATAAATATAATTCCTCTATAATAAAGTCTAAAGCCCCAACCTCCTATGCACCAAGTTTCTGAGCAAATACAAGAATCTTTCTATTCAAAAAGAATAAAGAAAAAGCTGCTAGTAAAAGTAATGAGTAGTCCAGCTAATCAAAACCAGGTAATTTTTCTACTGCAAGGATGCAAAAACCAACTAATATAACACCGTAGAAAGATCAATTTAAGTGACCAATTAATTAATTTAGTTACTGAAAGAATTTAATGAAAAAAAATGTAAGGATGCAAAACGAAGAACCGAGGTTTACAAACTAAGTTACTCATGGCACATTCGGTTTTAAAGAGCGGCATAAAGATATTTCACGCCCAAAAGAAAGATAATACCATCTGCACATCGGAGGTTAACAAAAAGATGAAATTTAAGCTCCTGAAATTTGCAATTAACCACATATCAAACTTTTGAGACCTTAAAACTGAAAGGTTTGTGCATAAAAATTACTGATAAGAAAAAACAGCACTTTACGCCTTCAGCAGAAATGTACAAATATGTAAATAGCTAAAAGATAAACAAGGCTAGTAGTTGGCAATCCAATGCAACGCATCAAGTGAAGGTAAATTATACATACCACAAACCAGCTGCAATAGCCCATAAGCTCGTCCGGGTCAAGAACTTTATTTCGGAAAGCACTACCCTCCAATGCAACCGGAACAAGTTTCAATTCAATGGGTCTGAGTAAAGCTGTTTTTTCAGCAACCTAAAAAAAATGCTTTACCACACTTGAAGAGCTTGGTTGAACCATATGAAATAAAATTAAAAATGCAAAATACAGATTTATTTCAATTTTAACTTTCTTCAACAATTAAGCAAGCAATGTTATCATTATACCATTTTAATTGCAGAAAAAATAGAGATCTAAACCTCCGTAATATGGGCTTTAATGTTGTCTGGAAAAACATGCATCTAAATTATAAAAAATTTAACCTATGCATCCTCATATTAACAAAAATATGTACGTCCTGAAAAATTAATCAAATTCTTATTAGTTGCGTCCTTTTATATGTAGTGCAAGGAAAATGGTCCTAATGCTGCGTGTGCAGTTGAAGGAAAACATCAGAGGCAAAATGAATGGATTAAATATCCAAAAATAAAAATAGATATTGCATACTTGATAAACATATACATCCCAAAAATTTCGCTCATTCAGGTCTCATAAGCATATTAGCACATTTCTGATAACGGCTAAAAAGATGTAGAAAGATAGAGTAGATCAAAAGCAACGCTGCTCAGTAGCAAAAACAAAAAGCCAATTCCTGTGTATTAACATATCCAACACCTAAACTTTACTTTATACATTTATACCTCCAAATAATTCATATCACATCAAAAATACCAAAATTTTAACTTAACTTTTAAAAAGTGAAATATACCTTTTCATGCAAAGATAAGGTGGCATATGTAAAAACTGAAGTTAAGGTGCTAGATACGTGAATACATAGGAATTAATTGGTATGTAAGTAAATCTTCCCAGTTAAAAACCAAACAAAAAAGATGGACCTCAATGGACTACACAACAAATAATGTAGCCTAATCATGGTATCGTAGTAACAGATAAAATAGAAAACAATCAATAATTCCTGTATTATTTCTTTCTTTCGGATGGTTTCCTTTAGAGAAACAAGTAAAAAATCAAACGGAACAAAACATGCCAACCTTAAGTATCAAATCACGGAGCCAGACAGCACTTAAAAAAGAAGCATTTTTCAAACCTCCAATGCAACGGTTACCTTTCGCCAATCAACAAAATTTATGAGATCAGGATCCATGGTTTCTTTTGCTGCAAGCAGTAATATTTTCTCCCTTTCCAGTTGGGTTGGTCTTTGAAGATGCAATACTCTATCCATTCTTCCCGGTCTTCGCAATGCCTCATCAATTTGATTAAGATTGTGAGTAGTTGCCATCAAAACAACACCATCCTGATTTTCAAAACTGTCAAAGTGCACACCATATTAAAAAAAATATATCTACTAGCTTTTACTGGAAGAAATCAAAGGAACCCAACTTCATAGATATTGAAACTCAATCGAACAGTTCATATATCATTACAGAATAAAGATTAAATAAAAGAGGGCATACATAGCACACAATTCTTATGTATTTATATATCTCACACCTAAATTTCCATATTTACACACATAACACTCAAATATTTAATATCAAGCTGCATTTAACTTTTTAAAAGTGGCAACAGTGCTATCTTTTGCGATATTAAAGATTTGAGAGCTATAAATATGGATATGAAATTTTAGGTGTTAGATAATGTAAATACATAAGAATTATATGCTACATATGTAAATTTCCCTTACAAAAACAAGGCAACGACAAAATCCTGATTAGCTGGAATAAGAAAATATTTTATCATGTGAAACAAGATGATTGAATTTTAGGGTAATTAAAATATTCACCATGAAACTTTGAGATAATTGTGAATGCATAAAAGCTGTCTGCTTAAGAAACTTGGGGTTCTAAATTGGTTGATACAAAATCAGTCGTCTAATAAACAAAAGAGAAGGAAATGATTTTACCCATCAAGTTCAACAAGAAGTTGATTAATGAATGCCTCATGATCTTGCATTTTGGTGTGAATAAACTTGCCTCGAACACCAGCAAATATATCAAAATCTTCCACAAAAATTATCACAGGTGCCTAAAAAAAAGCCCTTGGAAGATTACTCTAAGAAAAGACAATAAATAAAGCATATCAAATTTGAGTGATTGAAATGATAGAGTGATTATAATGATAGGACCAAGAAAGCATAGAGAAAGATGGAGAATTATTTTTGCAGTTATCAACTATACTACTAAATTTTATAAATCGTATCCCTCCCGCCCTAACATATCTATAGCATAGAATAACACCTACCATCTTCGCGCCATCTAGAAACTTATCAAATAGGATTTCTCTATTGTGATTTCAAACTATTTAAGAGGGAAATGTGAATTGATAAATTAAGAGAGGCAAATGAGGATTTAGAGATCAACCAAATCCCTAGCAGCTTCGAAAAGCTCCCTAACATTTGATGCACTTTGGCCGACCCAGAGTCCAGCCTCTAGTTGGCTAGCTTTGACCTCAACAACAGGAACTCTAGCTTCAGCAGCTATTGCCAATGCAAGAGATGTTTTCCCTGTTCCTCTCTCTCCAACAATGAGAACGCCCTGCAAAATCAATTAGAAATCTCTAGTACCTTCATCAATTATACATATGGAATCATGAAGAAACAATAATACTAAAAAGGGAAATTTACATATGCAGCACACAATTCATATTTATTTACATATCTCACACCTATAATTTCATATTTACATACATAGCACTTCAGTGCACTAAGCCTATCCATGAAAATGTGTATTTTAATTTTAAAAAGTGGCAATAGTGCAATTTTTTATGTGATATTAAAGATTTGGCTGTTATGCGTGTAAAAATGAAAGGTTAGGTGGGAGATATGTAAATACATAAGAACTATGTGCTATGTATGTAAATGTCCCTATTAAAAAATTCAATGCAAGATGATGCATGAGACGAGTGCATAAGGGAATCAGGCAGTTGTATGTGGTGCAACAATTTAAATAACATACACATGTATCATAAAATCATTAACCTAATAGATATATGTTATCATAACAATAGTAAAAAGGTCATCTTTGTATTTGTCGAGCACAGTTCCAAATCAAAATCATTTATCCAAATCGAATCATTTAACTTTCTCTAAAACCAAATCCATATAGGTATTCAAGCATACATATACTAAAGCAATCAAGGAGTACTATTACCAGCGAGGTAAAAAGGAATGACCATCATTCCCCAAGAACTATTTTTAAGCCTTCAGGGCTAAATTAATCTTTCTAAGTTACTAATAATACAACTAATAGAAAATCAAATGACCAACATTTGTGACCAATCAACAATGGGCATTGAGTTAATACAATCATTGGTTGGTAAACTCTGGTAAGCCACCAATTTGCTAAATTAACTAATAAATTTGTAATCAGCTGCTTGCCAATTAGGTAGCATAAATAACTATGTCGTCCCAATCACATATTTGCATTTTTATGCTCCACACAAGGGTGAGTGCTCGAACCCAATTCCTTTGTATTCTTTACGAGTTGCATGTTGAGCAAGAAATAAAGTACAGTTAGGGCTATAGAAGTGTTGAAGGGGAGAGAAAGTTTATGGTATGGAATTGGGATGATTTAGAGTTAGGTTTGATGGGGGCAAAATAATAAAGTAGAATTTAAGGTCTAAGAATTGAGGTGAAACACGAGAGCCTGTGGAAGGTCTAGAGTTAGTTTCAGGTTGGACAAAGAGCAAGCAGAAGATAAAAGATTAGAGAAAATAAAATAAAATAAAATAATCTCTCACCTAAAGAATTATAATATCTCAAGCCACCAACTCAACATAAATAAGCCACTAAGCAGCCCCATGCAAGAGGGAAAGCTTCCAATTGAAAATGAAACCAAACTTCAGTTCCATCCATGATACCAATAATATAGACAAATGGAACATCTAAATCATCCCATTGAAATAAGATTTAAATGATAAATTTCAGAAATAAAAATAATAGAAATTTTTAAAAAATTAAAAGAGGATCTCTTTAAGGAGGGGTTAAAACCACACTACTTTTTGCATGCGGTTGAGCCTTAGATTAAGCCTTAACATGTGGAGGAAGGAAGATCTATCACATCTTGAATCAAAGAAGAAAGACATCCAAGCTTTATCTAAGCCATAAAAAAAGAATTCTTTGTCATCACTGCCTTGAATACTTGATTGATCGATAAATATAATGAAATATTGATGTCAAACCTTGACAAATGTTCTTGCTATGTGATGGAGGTGTACAATTAAAATAAGCAAAGTGAAATCCAAACTTTCAATGCATCCACATGCTTGGTCAAATTAATGCTAGAAATTGGAATGTGGGGCTACATCACAAGCTGAATCACACGTGCACTTTGCGTTTTTCAAATGATTATCAAAATGTGATTGTGTGCCAAAATCATAAAATAAAAGCCCTGCACATAAAGAAGAAACACAAGCGACTAACCATGACATAAGAATAGCTCAATCACCCCTTTAAAATGAAATTTCAATCAACTTTGTTCGAACAATTTTCCAATAGAAAAATAAGCCACTGAATGCCTTATTAGTCGAATTTGACACATTAACCAGCATGATGTAACTCTAAACCACTTGTGAACTTTGTAAAAACAAATAAAAAATAATGTGTAGTTAGTAGTATAAATAGAATTAGTTTGCTTTGGGCCAGGTAAAATCACTAAACCCTCTAAGCCATATATCATGGTAGTAGGGTGAGCCAACTGTGTCAAAAGAGATAACAGAAGTATGAATGATAATAAGGTTGATCATTCATGCCCATTCATTCACCTATTATAAATCAAATTTCTACTATTAACCTTCAGTTCATGTGTTATCCTTAATCAAGATCACATCTGAAGTGTAATCAATCTTGGGAGCTTGCAGCCATATATAATCTCATACCCAGCATTTCTTAAACCACAATTGGCTTCATTAACTCGATAGTTAAGAACTTTTAGCAATTGCCTTGCTATAATGAAAGAATTTGTAAATACAATTAACGCCCAATAGAGTCAGCATTTTAGAGCAAAAAGTTTGTACTTTCCTTCAAACAAAGATATGCAGTATTGAATGGGCATTAGACCAAGAGAAGCACATCTTTTTTCAAGCTTGTTTATCTCTAACCATGCTCATGCCGAGCTTAAACATAACCTGAGTTTCAAAATCTACCTTTCCTCCAGCTTCCAACAAAAAAAAGCTCTAATTCTGCTAAATTTATTGTAAGAAATAATGATTTAGACATACATACATTATCAATTAGAGCTAATTCGTTTGATGACAAAGAGTGGTGTGATGCCTATAAGCACCTATAAAATGCTGATTAGAACCCCAATATGATGCCTCTTTTCAAATGTTTTGGAAGAAAATAAGTTTGATCCAAAAACATAAATCAACTTATTAAATAGTGCTACAAAACAAGGTAGTAGATGGGTTTTTCATTGATAGCTTATGAGATTGTTTGTTTATCATTAAATAAGTGATAGCAAGCATGTTTACACACATGAATGAACAACTAGAACTTTGTTTAGGCATTTTCAATTAGACATCAACAACAACAACTCTTTATCCCACTAAGTGGGGTTGGCTGCACGAATCCTTTTTCTCCATTGTGTCCTATTGAGTGTCATATTTTCATTTAAATCTAATAAATTAAGATCATTTTTATATAATATGTCCAAATCTTTCTAGGTCTACCTCTGTCTATCTTAACATAAGTCGAATCTAAAACATCTACTCTCCTAACCGGATCATCAGATGGTTGTCATTTAATGTGACCAAACCATCTAAGTCTTTTTCAATTAGATATCAAGAGACAAAAATCATATTCAACAGGTTGAACTAATTAATAAATAAACATTAAAAAAAAACATAAATTAGGCAAATATAAAGGGTGCTAGTTGGCATGCACCATTAGGAATGTTGGTTTAGGCAATGGGAGTAGAGAGGCAAACCCAATTGACCCTAATTTCATCAATTTAAAAGATTCCTTATATAATATCAAGCAAAATTTTAGTCTACTACAATAAGCAACATATTTTTGCAATCCCATTTCTTTCACCAATCTATTTCTCTGTTTTACAATATATGAGCATTTTCAATAAAATTAAAAAATAGACTTAATTTGTTATATCCATTTTTTAAATAATAACATTACAAAAATCTAATGGATTTCTGAATTCTTAAGAAAATAGCATTTTAGGAGGAAATGAGTATAGGCTATTTCCTAAAATTATTAAAAGCTATTCCCTTATACATCATTTTTTTTGCTAACTTTTTTGGTTCCATGTCTAGGACCAACATTGTTTAAATTTCAAACTTTTTTTCTAAATCTTGAATGCACAAATTTAATTGTCATTATTTATTTCATTTTGTTTTTAATTTTTCCAACAATCACCTCACTTTTAATATATTGAACGTTTGCCAAAAAAATAACAACTACCAATGCTTCCCAAGTTAATTATTTAGTTTCAACAATTTTCAAAATTCTTTCTTGTTTAACTTTTAGAAAATCAAATTCAACAAGAATCATGGCAATTTTCAAATTTTCAATGATAGATCCAGGTATATGACTACTTACATATGATTTTTTTTATTTTAAAATGCTAATAATTATAATTTACAATTAAATCAACTTTAATTTAAAATAGTTTTTAACAATAAGATCTTTTAATGCTAATTGTTCTATCATTTCTTTTTTTTCACATAAGTGAGAGATTTCTTAAAACCTTCAACATAAATCATATCCCCATGGTTTGTTTTCCTCTATTCCCATACCATATTCACATTTTATTGTTTGGGACAAAAAAAAAATCATGGATTGTATTGAGACAATGTTATACTTAATCCTCACCACCACAATCAACTCTGACAAGCTGCAATGCATTAAAAAATAAAAAAATAAAAAAAAGATAATTACCTACATAGCACTCGAAACATTGTTACTTACAAAACTAGTACCAGGGTGATTTTTAAACTACCAAACCGATGCATTTATTTGTACAATGATCAAACAATTGAGAATTTGATAAAAATAAAAATATGGGTTGAGGTTTTATGATGAATTTCGATATTCGAGTAAAAATTTGAAAATTGGAAGAAAGAGGGTGCTAGATTTGTAAATAGCATTGTTTTCAGTGCCCTGTATATAATTCCCTACAAACAAATCAAGTCACACAACAAATGATGTTCAATAAAAACATTACTCCATCAATGAAGGATTTGAAAAAGTAAAACCTAAATGATTTATAAAGTATAAAAATAATTGGAGAAAGAAGATTTAGAGTATGAATATACCCTAGGTGCTCGAGCTCCTTTATCCTTGAACGCTGCAGGATTTTGTAGGCATGTCACAATGTCATTGATTTCATCTCTCATAGACTCAACGCTGGCAAAATCATCAAGCCTAATAGGTGGATTCCTTATTCTCTGCAAGAAATGATATTATCATGTAATTTTAAAAAGAGAAGAAAAAGAGATGATATTATCATGTCTTTCTTGATAACTTTGTTTCATTTGTACCTTCATCTGATCAAACGCAGATCTTATAGGATCAACGCCCTCTTTCCTCTTTCGAATCCTTCTATTCTTCTTATACCTAAAATAGAATTTCTGCAAGTATATGAAAATTATACAAAACTTAAAAAGTTGGCGATGTACTTGGAAATATTAAAATTATAAAAACAAGGATTAGATCAGAAGACAGAAACAACTCCATTAACATAATTAGTCATATGCCAACTATTCAATTAAATCTATAAACCCTCTATCTCTAATAGCTTATCATGCTTGTGTCAACTTTTCCTCCAGTTTACATGACAAGCTATTTTTGTCAAATTTTTCTTCAGTTAAATATTTCATTACAGCATTCTAAGACATCTATAATAACATGCTCATCTTCGAATCACAAATTAGTTCTGGTTCCCCCCCCCCCCCCCCCCCCCCATATACATTTATGTGTGTGTGTCATTGCAAATGTGAACATTGACCTTTGAATCTCTTTAACATTTATCTTACATGGTGTTACTCTCAAGTTAGTCTGCATTTATACCGCCTAACTTTAGCGATTATGACTGTGTTCTCATCCATATCATTCCTGTATGCAAGAGATATGAAAAATAATTTATGTTTACATATAATTTCATGACAATTTGATGGACTAAACTTAGAACAAAAAATTTCATATAATTTCTAAAAAAAACTAATAGTGATCACACTTTATAATTGAATAATTATATATACATACATACATACATATATATATACATACATACATATATATATATATATACATACATATATATATATATATATAAATGTTTCATCAGGCGGATGGCGAACCCTAGCGTCTGCTACGGTGACTTCACGCTTGAAGAAAAAGGGTTTGTTTCATCAGGCGGATGGCGAACCCTAGCGCAGCATTGCCTGGCTTCCTCTTCTGACGTCTTCTTTAGGGCTTCGTCTGTTTCGGAGAGCTCTCTCGTGTTTGAAGCAAAACTGAAGTGCTCGTCTGCTACGCCGTTCGACTATTCCGTCAGTTCTATTAGAACTGCTCCTCACACAGTGACTGAAACCGGTCGCAACCTTCGTCCCCGGTCGCAGTCTGTGGGCTTTCTTGTCTGCTAAAGATGGCCTCATGGGTGCTTTCCTACTCGGCCGCTTTCCTACGTCGTCGCCCTCCCAATGCTACAGTGGTTCACAAACGCAGGTCATCTTTCCACCTCGCAGATAGTCCGATGTTCCCGCAGATGTACCATGATTCTGTTGCAGGACTTGGAGATTGCAATCTCATCCTCATAAACAAATAGGGAAAAAGCGGGCAAACCAACAATATTCTTCTCTGACACTGAAATTTCAAATCATGCAGGAAAATACAAATTTACACTAGTTGAAAAGTTCCAATTAGGTCGACCTAAGATGGAGATTATCAGGAAGGTTTTTGAAGATTTCAAACTATTTGGGGCTTGGCAGGTGGGTCTTTTCAACGGAAAACATGCAGCTGAGCATAGAAGAAAAATATACAATGATTTTCTCAAATAAATTCATCACAATCGAGGGAAATCATATGAAATTGCTCAACTGAACCCCTAATTTTGATCCCAGTCAAGAACCTCCAATTGCACCTATCTGGTTCTCATTACCTGAACTCAAACTTAAATTTTTTGACATATTTATCTTATATGCAATTGAGACTATCCTTGGAAAACATTTGCAGGTAGACATACATATAGTTCACTTCTCAAAGCCCTCCATTGCAAGGATTTTGATTGAAGAGGATATTACACTACCAGATGTAGAAGAAGTCTGACTTGACTCTACTCACAATGGTTATTAGCAAAAAATTATTATTAACAAAAATCTTACTACAACAAGTACTACAAGATGTTTGGACACCCGCAAGAGAAATATTTCAGATTGCACCCACAGTTGAGAACGAATAGTCATATTTCAGATTGCACCCACAGTTGAGAACCAATAGTCATGAGCATGAACATGTAGTTATTGCACCTCACGTGCCTGAAAGCGCTCCCAGCAATGACAGTCAACCTGAGGAGGGAATCACCACAAGACAAGAGTTGGTGTATGCCCCTATCAACCCTTCTTCTGATCATATTATAAGGGATAATGTTCGGACCGAAAATCAAGATAGCTCCGCAACTCCTATTCAAGAAGCATCAGGTGAAAGGTAACAAATCACACTTCACATACACTGAAACCTATCGTTGTGGCAACGACTGCCTTTCCTTGTATTGCAATTCTAATATCTAATTAGATCGAGGATCACATGAGTCAGCCTTCAGATGAAGAATTACAATTTTACACTTCTAGGCGGAAAAAGAAGGCCAGGGGCACACATCAACTTGGAAACTTAATGGATAATACTTTGGTTACTCCTGGCAATGGCACGACACTTCAAAGTTTGTTATATGGCTCCGCTTCTAAGACTAGAGGAAGAGGCAGGGCTAAACTGGCTCGTCATTAGCTATTTGTTTTCTGCATGTTTTAAATTTTTTTGAGTTTATCTATATCTTTTTATGGGGGTATTACTGTACTTGGTATCGTATGGGTAGGATGTCTCTATTTGGCCCTCTCATACAACATTTATGTATCTTTTCTATTTCCATAAAATCAGCCCTTCAGCTTTTCATAATATATATTCAATGATTTATTAATTCAATTTCTTATTTTTTGTATATCTCTCATTATATTCATAATTCATATATACATCAAATTAGTCGACTGGAGATGTAGAATTTTCTAAAATTGACTCGGTCTATATCCTATAGAAATGAAATTGAGGTATGTCTACAAGTGCCAAAATTTACCTAATGTCAACAAAACTGATACAACTGAGTGTTATAGCTTGACCTCGAAGGTTTTTTCATACATCTCGTCTTTTACAGCCTCGCCTCTCGATCTCAAGCTTATTAGCTTCTTAATCTCACATGCGGCTGTTGAATTGCTTTCTTCCCTTTTTGGTTCTTATGTAAATGTTAATATGCAATAATCGAGATACTATCATTAAACTCTTAAATAGTTATTTTTTGCAATATGTAAATACCACCAATAAGGTCATACTACATCTCCATAATAGGCATATACATCTGATAACTTATATTACTTAAAATATTTTTAATATTTAATATTATTATGAATCACCCTTTATAAGTCAAATATTGTTTGAAATATCATAACAACATACAATTTATAAAGAAAAATTTATTCTATTTCTAATTGATTACCTAAGAAATTATCAAAATTAGTATATGCATTATACTCTTGAGCATTTTAACAAAGTTGTATAAAGTCATTATTTTATACCATTTGATTAAATATTTTAAATAAAGTGAATAAAACACCTAATATATACTGACCTCTTAATTCAATTGAATACGAAATTTTGTCGTTAGATACATCCTCTGAATTTTTTTCTTCTAAGTTGTGACTAAAAAGGCTTGCCTTTATTGTGTGTTCTATTTCCTCATAATTCTTAGTTTCTATTATTGATGAGCAATTTCAATGTAATTCCAGCACATTAAAATCTATATTTGTTGTATTCTGGATCTTAAAGTGCTAGCTCAAATAATTGAATATTGCGCTAGTTGGCATACAAATAAAATATTGATATTATATTAATTTAGTAAAAATATTAAATAAAAAATAAAAATTTTAAATTTCATAAAAAATAGATCCTCACATTTTTCTATCACAATTGGCAATGTCGACTCTTAACTAGGTAAAATAGAATTTTTTATGACTTATGCACTATTATATGCACTGCAGGCATTGTTTAAAATGAGTTCTATTTAAATACACATTATTAAGGCGAACAAATATGTTTCTAAGAAACAACTTCACATGATTCATTACAAATGACGTGTAACCACTTATAAAAAAATGACAAATAAGATCACCTACATAATTATTAACATCAAAATTTAAACATTGAAGGATTTGTTTTTTTTAATCTAGCTATTTTGATGCACATTGTCACCTACATAGTTTTATTACTAGCGCTAATATAGATTGATGTCATATCCTTTGTTGTGATTATGAGAACATTGCCTTATTTTAGTATCAATCGAGCTTTCTTACCATAACTATCCAAAAGCTTTTCTAATAAAAAAATTGAGTTAAAAAGTGTTGTAATCTATTGAGACCTAACAAACAATCGTATATAGAAGTTATAGCAAAGAATTTGGATTCCACAATTGATGATTGAACAGCCCGAGTCTGCCAATTCGCTCAATATTTACTGACATAACTAGACATTATCGAGTAGTATAATGGTGAGGCTCCTGATTAGAAATTGGGTGATGTGACAGAATAATCTTATGAAATTATTAAAATTTGTTTTCCTTAATGTGTCAATAGGATGATCTAAGAACAACCTTATCTTATATTAACTTTGTTCATTTGCAGTACTCAACTTCAAATTCCTCAGCTAATGTTTTGATCAGTGGACCATCACTTCGCCCAATAGTGAGCTCAATTGACTCGGGCTAAAGGGTCAAAATGCCCTCTAATTGAGATTTCATGTCAGTGCACTCATCAACAAGGAACTGGAACTATATTTATTTTGGTGTAGGTAATATTATTCACTTCGAATATGATCAATAAAATAGGAAGGGATTATAGGATAAACTATACAATGCTTAGACTAATAGCAGACTTTTGTAGCTCGATTGACTTAACAAAGGGTGATCATTGGGGGTATTTACAATTCTATTTTTTTCTTTGATAATGGGCTCGGTTGAGTACTCCATAAGAAAAAGATCATTGATTTGTAGCACTAGGTAGGTCCTTACTCGCCAGAAAAAAAAGAACTTAAAGCTCCAACATGAAGTGTCATTTATGCCTAGAAGAGTTCATTTTTGCCCCCAATTTTATAGTATTTCTCCTTCCATAATTTATTTCTCACATTTTTATTTTTCTTTTATTTTAGCAATAAATAAATAAATGAAAATAATTTCAATGTGACCATCTTTTAACCAACAATTACTACTCAAATTTTAGTAACATGAAAGAATAGCAAACTCTATTATTATCTAAATTATAGGCAAAGAGTTTTTCCTTATTCCCAGATTATGGGATGAAGAAAACCCACTAGC